TTGTTCATTTTCACTTATTTTATGCATAATCCAGTGAATCACTTCCTGTTCTCTAATGATCTGCATATATGTAGCACTGATTCTCTCACTTCAGTCGTGAGGTTTTGCTCTGCTTAATATACCACCGGAAAAGTCTGATTGGACTTTGCCGACAGAGTAGCCTCTGACCTTAAATTGCAGAATGATAAATAACAGCGAAAGTTGAACAGTGAAAGAATAAGTCAGATTGGTCCACTGTATAAAGAGATGCTTAGTAAAATATTTGCTCATTGTTTAGTATTCCCTTAAAAACAGAGGAACTAAAAGTACCATAGCTGTGTAGCAGGCTCCACATCGAATTCCTCCTCCTTGCTATACAGTTGTTTAAAAGACAACCTGCCATGGCATGATTGCATGGTAATGATATCATCTGTGCTTCAAACCTAAAAGGCTGGCACAAAGATGGTTATGATGAGAATATACTGCGCACTGTTCAGCTACACTAAAGACATGTTGTATTATTTCCTCTAAATGGACTAAATGTTTTACTGTGGAAATTCCTGCTTGGGGCTGCTGGAGTGTATTCAGGCTGTTCTGATGTCCTGTGTATCTGTGGCTTGTAACACTGTAAGAAGCAAATCCTGGATTTTGTTATTATGATACATTTCTACATATGTTTCTACTATAGTTCATTTTTGTACAGATATGCTAATAACCCTGTTTGTGTTAGAAAGATCCTCTCATTAGTAGAATTGAGTCATTAACAAGCAGATCAAATAAAAATGCAGGAGATGGTCAGGACTCAAATTAGAATAACTGTACATCAGGAGCAATAGTATGAAAGAGAATGAAGCCTGGTGGAAAAGACAGAAGTCTCAGAAGAAGTATTTCTACATTGTTTTACTTTTGTCAGATCATATCCCTGTGACCCTAGACATATTTGTGTGCTTATGGATTCATATTGTACAGGGAATGAAGGTTAAATGATGAGGCCTGTGTTACTCTGTATTTTTATTGTTGTCAAGGTTGTTTTAGGCATCAAATTCTGTTTCTATGTCTTGGGCAATAGTACAGCATTCGGTGCCTTCAGAGGGAGCTCTGTGAAGTCTAATAAACATCCTCAGGTGGTGTCATTTGAGTCAGCTATGGCTGAGTCTAAAGATTACAAGTCTCAAAAGTGAGAAGTATCTGGGGCTGTGGAGTCAGAAAGAAGCGATCTTACCAGACCTCTGTAGCCCACTCCTCATGTTTTGTTTGGGGCCAGGATACATTAATGTTGCAGAATCTCTGACCAGCTGTACGTGGCATTCTGGGTAATCCACCACACAAGGTTTTGACAAATGTAACTTTTGCTGCATTGGTTAGCTATCCATCTTGAGTCTAAAACATTATAGGAGTGAATGGGTGGAATACTGGTTTAATCTATACATTTGTGAGCTGAGCGCTGTCGTCTCACAGCAAGAAACTTCCGGGTTTGAGCCGGGTTTCTGTGTGGAGCCTGCATGGGTTCTCTCTGGGTGCTCTGGCTTCCTCCCACAGTCCAAAGACATGCAGCTTAGGTTGACTCGTGATTCTAAATTGCCCGTAGGAGTGAGTGTGGGTGTGTGTGGTTGTTAGTCTCTAAGTGTCAGCCCTGTCATAGACTGGTGACCTGTCCAGGGTGGACCTCGCCTCTCACCCAATGTCAGCTGGGATTGGTTCCAGTCCCACCGTGGCCCTATTCAGGAATAAGCGGTATATGGATGGATGGATTTGTCAGCTGTCTTTAAAGATCTACA